CATGCAATAAACCACATTTATAGTTTGATTGAGTCAGATAAACATAGTTACTCATAATATCACAACGACTGACTCCAATTATTAAGCATGACATTTTTATTTCTTTTAGCTTCACTTGCTGGTATGAGATTGGCTGAGGGAGACATTGCAGTAAGTTGATAATAATAATTATAATTTTATTGATATTATTCATTATTGTTATTCACAGAACAAATTAAATTCTATTCTAAAAAAAAATGATAATTTAAAAAAAAGTAATGTTACATACCAATGGTAAATTCATATAGATGAAACTAATTCAGAAAATACCACTTTCATTAATATAAACTGCAAGTTCTTTATACCCATGATATATAAGAACAAATTGACTTAAATAAACCTATTCTTGCTTCTTTATGTTGTAGGCAGTTAATTAGAAAATGAAATTCATTTCACAGAACCTTTCATCAACATTTGTTTTGGGTTTTCTATGCTGGCCTTTCTCTGATTTTAGTAATTTTCATGATAAAACAAAAATTATAAAATTTAAACATACAACTTTTTGTATTTTACCTGATAGTGACCATGTTTTGAGTACCAGTACCGTATTATAATGTTTTTACCATAGATTTCTAGATAAGAGATATTATGCCATATATCAAATTGCAGTCTGGTGACATAGGCTGAAAAAATCATATATTGTGAATGATGGGGTACTTTTTGTTGCCCTGCATTTTTTAAAAAATCTGAGTTTTAAAAAGTGTCAAAAAAGGCAATATAGTGTTCTCTTGAAAAATATTAGAACAAGTTTCTTAAAATAGCCTTACTGTAGCAGACACAAAATATGTTATTTCATGTTGCTATGATACAGGATTCCATGATTTTACATTGAAAACTTGTGATAAAGGGTTGTTTTAGAAAGAGGGAGCACTGCAATTCAGCGGCGCCACCAATTGGGGGAGATAGGGTTCTCCCAACCAGGGTGTGGAGTTTTTGATAATTCTAAGTTAAAATGGAGCATTCTATGGCTTCCTTGGGGCCAAAATTACTATCAGACAGGTCACAGTTGGTCAATCAGAATTTTATGGTTGCCAGAGATCTGCTCCCCAGTTCCCTTGTTTAAAAAAATCCCCAGAGATGCGATTTCATAATTATAAGAAGACTTCTGCATTCAATCTTTGAGCACATAAGTAAATAGTTGTCTCTATATTCTTTTACAAATTAAAACTGATTAATTTGTTCTGGCTTCAACATCTGTCATCTTTCAAAGTTAGGATAATTATTTTTTTTAAATTATTGTTAGGGTGTGTAAGTTATTTTCTTATTCATGGTTTAAAAACATCAGGAATTTGAATTTCTTTTGTAATTGTAAATTTCCAAATATGTTAAAAAAATCTTTGAAATGCAGCCTTATTTGGTAAACACTACCATGATTTGTATAGCATTATTATACCATGCTGATTGATTCAATTATTGTACGGTAGATAACTCTTGGAACAAGTGATGGGTTGTTTCTATGGTTACAACATCCCAAACCTGCTCTAGAAGGACACATATTTGCTAATCCAGTGAAAGGAGACGCATACATGGCACTGCTATGGTAGGAACATTTTTCTCTTTTTTTTTCAAATTAATTTTTATTTCAAAGTAGAGATTAGTAGACAGAAATGACAACCTTTTCAAGTGTAATCATATCCACTTTTTAGCTCTGCTGTCGACTTTGTCGAGCGGA